GTGTGTGTGTGTGTGTGGGGGGGTAGATAGTTCTATGGAGGGCACTGCATGTCTGAGTGGCTTGTCACTGTATATCAGCACAAACCTCATGACCGAGGGCAGATCGTGTGCACACTGTGCATGTACACAAATCTATAAGCAAGGCCATCACAGACCATCCCGTCACCACCAGACATTCATGCTACACACAAACATATGCCACAAGGGGGTGGGGGTGATGCTTATGTTGACATTTAGTGACTAAATGGTATTACATTACAATACATATCATCAAGCTGATGTTTTTATCCATAGCGAATTACAATAAGTGCATTCAACCGTGAGGGTACAAACCCAGAACAGCAAGAATCATGTGAGTACATTTGCTTAAAAAAAAGCCAAACTACAAAGTTCTACATGTAAGTGCAATATATAACTAGACTTATTATTTTTATTTTTTAGATAGACATAATCTTCTACCCTAACCCCTAACCAAGGTGTAGTCAGAAAAGATGTGTCTTTAGATGTGTAGACTTTCTGCTGTCCTGGTGTCAATGGGGAGCTCTTTCCATCATTTAGGAGCCAGGATAGCAAACAGTCGTGATTTTGTTGAGTGGCTAGCTGTCCCTTACAGTGAGGGAGCAGCAAGCCGATCACCTGATGCAGAGCAGAGTGGATGGACTGGGATGCAAAATTTAACCATGTCCTGGATGTAGACTGGACCCGATCTGTCCGCAGTACGGAATGCAAGAACTAGTGTTTTGAAACAGATATGGCTAGCCACTGGTACCAGTGATGGGAGATGAATCAGTAACTGTAATCCAGCTCACAATCTCCACTGACAATTTCCTGTGTGTAGCAACTTGGAGTGTGGGTGGGGTTTGTAAGACTTAGGCGTTTACTGTAATAAAGAAAAGCAAATGGGGCTGCATTACGGGAAGTGTTGGATGACAGCTAGCAGGTAATATCCAACTGGCCGTGATGAGATCGATACATTTGTCAACAGCATAAGTTTATGCACCCAACCACGAATGCATGCGAGCGACACACGTGCCAATGTTAGTCGCAAAGCCGTCAGTTTGGGAAGTCAAGCGAACGGACCAGCGAGATAAGCAGAAAGGGATGTAGGGATGAAGCCATGCAGAAGGAAGGAAGGAAGAACTGAGGGACGATGCTGGCTCATGCTGAGGGGGAGCTGTGGGACACAGATGATGAGCTCTGACACACAGATGATGAGCTCTGACACAGACACACTCTCCACAGGCTGCATCGCTGTCCCTGCTCTTTTCCTGTCCTAACATTTTCCTAACTTTAAGACAGAGGAGCAGAGGGCTGCATCATCTCTGTAGTATGCAACCACTGACTTACAGTTCTACAAAGTTTTTTCCCCTAGGGTTGTGACTTTAAATAATTACCATAATTTCTTTGATCATATTTTAAGTTGCGTTTTCTTATATTTCATTGTACTCAAGCAATTGTTGGTTTTACCTTTCTCTATGATACACTGTACCATTTTCTGTTACTCTATTGCATTCTTTACTCAATGTTCAATCATTTCCTGCTCTGCTGTGCTCTTTTCAGTTTTGCTCTGCTGAGCTGTACAGGACAGCCACACTCCCCTGAGAGAACCCTCCGGAACTCCGGAAACACGCTACCATTATTGCTTCCTGCAGTCAGCAGAGCTTACAAACAGGCAAGTGGGTGTGTGTGTGTGTGTGTGTGTGTGTGTGTGTGTGTGTGTGTGTGTGTGTGTGTGTGTGNGTGTGTGTGTGTGTGTGTGTGTGTGTGTGTGTGTGCGTGCATGTGCATGAGGGCTCTTGACCCTAAAGCTTCCCTCACTGGTGGGCTCCTCCAGCTCACTCAGCTTATTGCAAACACAGATGCCCCTGCAGTCTTCCCGTCTGTACACAGGAATACACACCCTTCATATAAACATACCTAATACATCTCATCAACACACACATGCACACACACGCACAGGGAAGTTATCTAATGTCAACATGAGGTTGTGTGTCGCTCCACTTCTTCAGTATACACATACACACACTTATACGCACAAACACAGAAGTACAGCAATAAAGTTACTACCAAACTAGTGAACTAAGATTCTCCCCATATTTCTTATTCATACTTGAAGAACAAAAATCTTCAAAAGAGAAAGTTGCACAAGAGACAGCGGCCTTTCCCAGTTCAAATGTGGGCTGAAGAGTGAACTTCATTTGGCCCACACAATTCTATTTATACCCATAATTCCTTCAAAAGAAACTCAAAATATGGGCTATTTATGTTCTTTTTCTGTCCCTTTGTGTTGCTGTGGAACAATTGAAATAATATGCAAGCAGTTAGGACTCCCAAAGGAATGGTGCATCACTCCTCCACAGTGTTTCGTAAAGCATAAACTAGGCCATAGTCAAACAGGTGGTCAATTACAGATGTGTGCCACCGCCTGTGTGTGTGTGTGTGTGTGTGTGTGTGTGTTGCAGACAGCTTGCGATTGTTGTGAGTTTTCATTATAAATGACCGGGGGGGAATGCTTAAAATCCAATGTAAAACTGTCTCTCTTTCTGTGTTTTATGTTTAAATAAGAACAGAGGGATAAAACACGCACTATACACAGAGCAGAGGGCTGCGTGACATGGACACAAACATGGCCTGACCCAGTGTAATATTTTAGATCTTCATGTCTTCATAAAGAAAGACGCACGCTTGGAATTAACACTGCCAGTCCAAGATCAACAATAAAGAGACCTCTTGTTCCAGGTCGGTATATTAATCGTGCCCCCACGGCACCCTCACCCATCCTCTACCTACCTGTGCCTCTTTATAGACCTTCACTCTCCCGCATTCACCTACAATCAAATTTTTAACACACCTTCTTTACCAAGATTTGGCGTTGCACTCTTTTTTTGTTAGTCTAGCGATCAGCCTCCCCACCCATATCCCACAATCCTAATGATCTCTTATGTAGGGCAAAAACAGCAGACAGCGCTGTTTAGTGTGTGTGTGTGTGTGTGTGTGTGTGTGTGTGTGTGTGTGTAACCGGCGAATTTAGACAAAGCATTTAACATGTGTCTATGTGGGGGAGGTGGGGTGCCAGGGAAGTTCTAGTTTTAGGAATGTGGGCAGCGACTGACCTCTGACCTCCTTTTGGGGGTAGCAATATGTAGCCCTAGCTAATGGCAAAGTCATATAGTACTGGTTGTAATCTGACTGCTACAGTATATTTTCATTTCAGAGAAGAGGGTGAAACGGAACGATAAGGTTTTTGTACTCTGAGATGAACACGGCTCTTTCTTCTTGACAATTCTATTATTTTACTTTCTTCAAAAATGTGACGTTCTTTCGTAATCTATTCATTGCTATTTATAATTTTTTTAACAATTAAAAGTAATCTACCTTTCTGTCTCTTTAGGTTCCATTGTCATAATTCATGCAAAAAATATAACGTGTGACAAATAGGATTTTTTTTTCAAGTCAAGCCACTGTAGGTCTTCCCAGTCTGTATAAGTATCAAAAAACAATTATGACACATATTACCCATTGCATTGTAATCATCCAGCAGACACTTTTACCTGCAATTCTAAATATAGTGGCTGATTTCAATAGATATTGTGGCTCCACTTCCATCTACCAAAATAAGTCAATAGTACATTATGAGAGGTTGGCGTGTCCAATGTGAAACCATCACAATTCAGTCACACAGACTGCAAACACCTGCAAACTGATGATTGGACTTTACTGAACCTTTGTGGAACAAGCTTCTGCAAGTGCATTCGTGCAAAGCCTGAGTCAGTCTGCCCCAATGCTGAGTGACCAGTCAAATTCTAAGCTTCCTACAACCATCATACATGAAAACAGACAGTTTTATTTTATTGACATACCACGCTTCTTTCATTCAGTCTGATGAGCTTGATTGGATCAGTGCATTCTTT